TCAGCTTTTCTCCAGAAGTTTTAGTGATTTGATGTAAAGTAAAATTTTCAGTTTGAAGAAAAAAATTACTTACTTAGACTTAGATTTTGCATAAAGATCTGTTACTGGCTATGTCTGAAGCCTCTTCCCACCTTGTGTCTACAGTAACAAAATTAATAATCACACATTTAATTCAATGTTCTTTTTTTTTTTTCTTTTCTCAGTGACACTGGGTCCAATAGACCAGAAAGTTGTATATTTGGACAGTTCTTAAATATAGCAGCGTTCTTAGGTTAGTTGAGTAATGAATACATTTTTTAAAAATGTTTTATTTATTAAGTTTTGTGAATTTTTATTCAATCTAGATCATAAAATATTTCCTAGATGTTAATCTAGGTGATTTGTACATAGCTGGTGAATTTTAATTTTTTATTTCATAATCCAAATTTCAAGTAACTTTTGGTCCTAAAAAGCATTATATTGTTTTCCGCATGGGACATAGGCCCCCACGAGAAATAGTGTATCATTCATCTTTTCTTTGTGTTCCTCATGGAACATAGGGCCTTAAGAGTTAATGGATCTTAATCACATCATAATTCTATTTAATAATGTCAATAGTTTTCTTTTGAGAATATAATGTGTGAAAACATTTTGTGATCTACGCAAAAAAAAAAAATTAATAAAGGGTTCTTCACCTAATTAGTATGTTGGATTGTTGAGGCACCACGCAAGATTTGGATAGAACCTCGTTCAATGGCAGGCCCGTCCATTCTTTTATGTTGTCTTCTCATCACTTTCTCTGTCTGCCTCTTCTGCTTTTTCCTGGTACTGTTCCGTGATGAAAGGTCTTTGCAAGCCCCGAAGGCCTTGTAATATGGCCATAGAGTTTTAGTTTGTGTTTTTTTTTTTTTACATTAGTTAGCAGGTCGTCGTGGGGTCTAATCGCTGTAGTAACTCTGTCTCTAATCTCTTCATTTGTGATGCAGTCTTTAAATGGTTCATAAATCCTTAAAGAAATTAAATACATTTCACAAAATCAGATTTATTATGAAAATAACAAATTTTTTTTTTTTTAGCTTTCAGTACCATGTATGTTCGCTACAAAGCAGTCGAGGCGATCGTTCATAGCTCCAATGATGACCACAAGTTACGGAGGCTAAATAAAGTGTCACTTTTCTTCGGTGTATTGGCAGCACTGGGCGTTTCTATAGTTGCCAACTTTCAGGTAAAAGTTTTTTCTCTTTAATTCTCAATCCTTGTTCTTCATAAATATAAAAAAAACAAAAAAACAGGATTACTGTATGGACTAAAATATTTTGGTGATTTTTACACAGAAAATGATAGAGAATATATTTCTTTTAATTTCTTAAGTTTAGTTTTTCCATTTAATAAATACTTTGGACATTCTAGTTGTCAAACCAACCTGAACAAAATACTAGCCCAACCTCCAAATCCTACTTTGACTTTGAAACAAACTCTATTTCTGTTTCATTATACTTTATTATAGTCTAACTTGAGATAAAGCATCAATTATTCTTTCTAGTTACCATTCACCAATATAATATCTTTCTAATCTTCTTCTAAATAATGTTTATGACTTTGTATGGATTATCTTTTCTTTTTAACTTTAAAATTTTCATTGTCATGTCCCATTTATTGATATATATTGTCATGTGACACCGACAAAAATAGAAAATCTTCTAAATACTTGGGAACAGAAAATACTTAGAAAAATCTATAATGCTTAGGAAAGGAAACTGGGTGGAGGACATGCACTAACCATGAGATATATCAGCTGTATGGAGACCAATCTTTAGTGACATTCTTCTTCTTCTTCTAGCCAGCTTTATTGCTGCTGAGCCTGAGCTCTTTTGCAGACTGTGCCGAGGACATAAATAAATAAGGACAGACTAAGTTGGGCAGATCACCTTGATAGAATGTCAGTGAACAGAGTAGCAAAAATTGTATACCGGCATAAACTAAACGGCAGGCAACTCAAAGGCAGACCACGAATACGATGGATCTACAATTACTTTTGGGCATTGGGACAAAAAAACTCAAGAAAGATCTGAGTGAAAGGATTAGCTGACGCAGACCAGAGCCCTCCATTGGCTGTAGCGCCACTTGAATGTATGGATGTGTTAAGCAGGCCAGAGCCCTCTGTTGGCTGTAGCTCCACTGGGATGGATGGATGTGTTGTCATGTAGCTCCAGATATTGACCCCGACTTAGCCTTGTATGATATGTCACACCAACTGAAATAAAACTCAAATTTTTTTTAATTTTGATTAACAAATATTTACATTATTTTATACCAGTGTAGAATAAACAAAAAGCACAAAATGTTAACTCACAAAATGTTAACTCACAAAATGTTAACTCACTAAAAATCTATTTTTCTCACCATAACATATTCACACATGTTTCTGTCTGCATCCCTCTTTCATCAGTTATCTCCCCTCTTTTATACACTGCGTATGATGCCAGTCCTTCTCAAAATTACATCAGCCTATACACACACACATTCCATAACAATTCTGAAAATGTAGGTGTATGTGAAAGTTTAGAATTTGAATTTGTATCTATATAGGAAGGTACTGATGTTGAAATAGTGCATATCATCGGTGCTGGGATGACTTTCATTCTCGGCGTCTTGTACTGTTTCCTTCAAGCCGCTCTGTCCTTTCACATGTGTCCTGATTACAATGGCCGCTGTATCTGCACCATACGACTTGCCATAAGTCTCATGTCATTAGTGGCTCTATTATTGAGTATCCTTTGAGAGTTTTGATTATTGAATTATTGTTTTAGTTAGTTAAATAGTTTTTTAATTACATTCATATTATTTTGAACTATTTAGAAAAAAATATTGTGTAGTATTTGTTGTTAGTATTTGCTACTTTCTAAAACCTATTTTGGATTGGGGCAGTTGAGTGGTCAAGAATTTTTAGTGGGTAGGAGAGTCTCAGCCTTTAGACGTAAACAACAACAAAAATTTAGACTTATTTTTTTGCTAGCTTTAATAAGGCTTAAAATGTTGGAATAGTAAGAAGTATTTGATATTTCGAGTTTGTTTGTTGTTAAAACACAAGATCCTATAAAAATGTGTCTCTTGTAGTAGAAGGATGAAGAAAATAGGCAAACATGCATGCACCCATTCCAAGTTGTGTTTCTTGTTACTAAGACTAAGACTGCTTTATTAATCCTTACAGATATGGTTACGATTACGAGGACTCTTTTTTCATATAAAGACAACACAACAGAAAAATATTACATCACCCATTTGGGATATGGGGGGTAACTAGAGGATATAGAAGCATTTTTCCAACACAGTCATATGAGAACTATCTCACTTCTGAATCATTGACCACAGAAACCCATGACCCTAAGAATCACATGTCCTTTAAGTGTTTAGAGAAAAAAATTTTTCTGAAATATTTTAACTTCTTGTTATCTAATTGAGAGTGTTGATTTCAGTGGATCACTTTGATCCAACCAAGTTTCAATATTTTTTCTTGACCAAATTGTAGCTGTTATTTCAGCAGCCATAGCACTAAATGAATGGACATCCAAAACGCATTCATCAAACAAGTTCAAATGGCTACCCGATGACCCAGTAAGTATAGCAAACGCTTGTTTATATATATATATATATATATATATATATATATATATATATATATATATATATATATATATATATATATATATATTTTTATATATAGGTCAGTTTTCTTGTCTCTGAGGCACATCAAAACTTATTGTGGCTACGCAAAGAAAGATGATGAGTTCTTTATTTTATTCAAAAACTCTCTGATTTTGTCTCAGAACATTAGGATGTGTTGCTAAGGGTGCCATTCTTGATTACATGATACCATTGTACATCGTTTTCTTAAGAGAAATCACAATGCATTCTTGAAAGAGAAGTTGTGTTAAAATTTAGTTCCTTCCTCATTGGGCCAAATATGTATTCTTTGCTGTCACAAAGCGTATTAAATGGTGTTGATTGCTTTCCTCTTAAATTAGAGTTAAATAAAAGTGTTAATTGCTCTCTTATGATAGAGTTAAATAGGCTTAGATTGTTTTCCTATGAAAGAGCAAAATGTGTGTTGATTGCTCTTCTAGGATAGAGTTAAAATAAGTGTTGATAGCTGTCCACTAACTGCGCTAAATAATTTTTTTATTGATCTCATATGGTAGATCTAAATATGTGTTGATTGCTCTTCTTTGATGTAGTTAAATATGTGACGTTTACTTCCCCTCCTACAGGGCTATGCTGCTCATTTGGTTAGTACTGTTGGTGAGTGGGTGACAGCCTTCACGTTTCTTTCATTCTTCTTCACTTATGTCCGAGAGTTTGACAAGTTTGAGCTAGAGATCCGAACACGCCCCCTCGTCACACACTTGGACCAGCGGCTGCAAGATTCTGACAGAGAGGAAGTGAATGAAAGAACAAAATTGTTGAGCTAGAAATCTTGCCAAAAGGTCATGCCAATATTCATCTGGACATTTTAAATTCACCCCAATTTTTATGTTTCATTTCTTTTAAAGTTTATCTCATTTCTTTGTACATGAGGTAATAATTAGATGTGAATCTTCTAATGTAAAGATTGGTTTAGTGATTTTTAAGTTTTTCAAAAGTGGCTCTGACCTTTTTCTGGTGTTTAAAATTGGGAAAAAAAAATGAGGGAATCAATTACCGGTGAAAGCAAAAGATCATTTTTAGATTTGTACATTTGCCATTTTTAAGGGCATGGGTTCAAAAGACCTTGCTATTCTTTATTTTCTAAACCATCTTGTTATAATAGTTTATGTAATTATTCAATTGTGTAAAATTTTTCATGTATTTCCTTTTTTTTTTCTTGTTTTTTAAAAAAACAATTTTGAAATGTAAAATGACAACGTCAAAGAATGTGTTCATTATAACCCGAGATCTAGATATACGTATAGGCTGCTGTTCTAATTTGTTTCTCTGGGGAACTAGAGAAGTAAGAGACATCCAATGGAATCCACTGGAAAAAAATAATTTTTTAGAAAAAGTAAAGTTCCCCTTTCAGACCTTGCAATCTATAAGGCAGATGATATAAATAAACAAAACTAGCCAATCAAGTCTGTACTTCCTCTTTTTATCAACTAAAATTTGAAAATAGTTTTTTTAGCCAAAGAAAAATTGTTTCATTTTATTCGATCATATAATTGATATACAAAAATGTACATTTTTATGAAATATTTTTGTAGCACTCTACTTAAAACTAGTCATTAAGGCTAAAAATTTTATTCATCAAGTAGGAATGTCAACAGACGGTACTTGTAGCTTGAGGCGGATTTAAAAAGTTGACATAAAACAGGTCCGACATTTTGGACATCCGTTAGTCTGTTTAAACATTGGGGCACGACACATGAATATTTTCCAGGTTTTACCAAAATATGTCAATATAAAAACCTGGCCTCAATCTTTTCAATGACATTGCACTAAACATTGTGCAACATGAACAGTGGTTTTCATTTAGTTTTCAAACCAGCTATTGAGAAAGTATTTCTCCAGCTTATCATTTACATTGACATTTATTGAGCTTCTATTTAAAATGACTGCTGCTTTAATGTTATCGTTGGCTGTGATGTTTATTATGTATTACAAATAGCTTTGAACAAGCATCCATGAACAGTAGCGTCCACTTTCTGAATGTTCAGTCATAACTCATTCTTTTTTCACAATTTCATATCCTGATGCCATTACTTTACATCTGTATTCTAATTTATTTATAAAAATAAACTTATTTTCCTTATAAAAAACTTTTTAAGCACACATCTTTTACCTGATGTGTAGTAAGTGCTTCAGACTGTTGTCCCTAGTTCAAAACTTGCCATCTGCCTTGCTGTCCTGCAGGATGTTCAGGCTAGGACATAATAATCTTCATTTTTGAAGGAATGTCCTAAATTTTTAAAACAAAAACAGGAAGTCGCAAGTTGTGATAAAATTGAGGAATTCCATTTTAGGTCTTGAACTTCTGGAAGAAAAATAAAACATCTTTTGGTCTGTTTATTTTTTTAACAGATATTTAAGGTATCAATTCAGTATATTGTTTCATCATGTTACCATTGTTTTTACAACGCCAGTTAAGCTTCAAATGTATTGCTGCTTATAATAGTCTGCATCAAGATTGATTTTTGACGCCATTTACTGAAAATGTCCACATTCCAGCGTAGTTAAGTGAGAGCTACCAACTTTTTCTTTTCAAACGCAAATTAAACAAAATACTAATTTTAAAAAGTTTCCCCTTTCAGACCTTGCAATCTATGGGGCAGATGATGTAAAATTCTGTTACTGTGGCCCATGATTAACTTATAGATATCCATAAACCATGAGTTATTTATATTTTTGTTGCCTGGTGTTAAAATTTTCTAACATAGATTTATTTTAATTCTCTTATTTCATTTGTTATCAGGCAAGATTGCCTCAAAGTGATTGTGACCTATATATTTTGTCAACAAACACATTGGCTACGCTGTTTGACTATTTATTATTTTGTTCATGTTTTTATATTTTATGTACCATGTAGACATATATCATTTGAAACAAAAAAAAAATGTTCCAGCTGCTACAAGATTTTGTCAATCCTTGCATTATGTTATTTTGAGTGATTACTAATTACTGCTTGCTCATTAATTCAGACTATAAACAACTTTTGAGCAGAAGTATCAGTGACAAAATATTTCACTTAATATAATCCAGGTTGTTTAGCTTATAGGACTGTGTGACTGGGCAGTTTAGCTTAAGGTTCGTTACCTTTAAGATTTTAAGGCTACTCCAGTGTATTAAATCTTGAAGGGTGTCGATATCATAGATGCTTTTTTTTTTATGTTAGTGTAACTCTTGAGAATGTGTTTACAACATTGTTATACTGTTTTGTTTACAAAGGGTAAATTCTCTTAGTTGACAAGTCCTAGTTAACTACCCATAATGCTCTCTCCAGAAGTTTGATAATGTCTTCCTGCAGTTGATGGAAGTCCTTTTGTTAATAGTTATTACAAGTTTTATGCTGTATGAAGTCAAATGTTTTGTATTCACTATATCATGGCTGCCTGGTTGTTTGGTATGCGCTCTGGGCTGTCATACAGTGGTCTTGATGGTCCCAGTTCAAACCCTGCCCGCTGCCATCCTCTATCATCCTGTAAGAGGTTTGGACTAGGATGTAATTATCTTCAAATCTGAAACATGTAAAACAATTATTAGTTTTTTAAAAACATGCCATTTTATGTTTCTAATGCCTTGCTCACTCTATTTCTCCTACTGTCTGTTCACCTTTTTATATCTCTCTCTCTCAGTACTTTGAGATTTCATATTTCTGTTCTTTTATGTATTATGTACATTTCTTTCATTTTTAGCATTCGCAAACAAACTTTGAACATTTGCTTTGGAGGATATTTTTGTTTGTCTGATTCAGCAGCATGTAGATACATTGCATTTAGTGATCTTTTGAGTATTTCATTTTGTTACCTTGTCATATATCAGTTTTAGAACCCCTGTAATATTTGTTGACTAGTAGTCACTGAACTATTCCGTGCAGTTAGCACAAGATTTTTCCTGGTCGGGGACTGACCATGAGGTGGACACGTCAGTTGATATTAGACTCTTGTAGAGAGAGGAGCGTTGTCATCTCCTCAGGTATATTATATGTGCACTGAGTAATTATTATAAAGTTTTCAACGGATTACATTTTATGATGGCTGAAGTCGCCAATATCTTTTGTGATTTATTATTATGTGAATAAAATCCATGTCTGCTAACGTAGTGTTTATTAATGATTCTAAATGTTGTGGTCGTAGAGTTCAGCATGATAGTGTTCTTGCACACCAGCAAATATAGTGCGTGTGAGAATTATTTAGTTAGTAAGGCAAAGAACTTTATAGTGGTACCAGAAGAGGTAGCTACAACACACAAAGGCAGACCTGCTCAAGACCGTCCAGACCTGTAACGATAACCAGGCTGTGACATACCTTTAAAAAAAAAAGAAATCCAATTACCTATGTCCACATAACAATGAATTAATGTTCTGTGACTTAACAAAATCAGGCATTTGGAAAGGTCAACAGCAAAAAAAAACCCTGATAAGTTATTTATAACAGGGTCACTACTACTGAGCAGTATCTGTTAGTCTCTAATTAACATGAAAGACTAGTTTGACTCATGCATACAAGTAGGATGTAATTAACTTCTTTGAAGGAACAGTTGTAAATCATGAGAAGCAGAAGAAGCAGTTTGTTTGAACTAAATGTCAGGAACTAAGAGACATTGACTTATTAAGTTTAAATTGAAACCTTTTCAAATGACTTAGTTTTTTTTTATCACATGCCACAAATGTTGTTTGTTTTATGAGTTGGCTGTGCTATAAAAAAGAAAAAGATCTTTGTTGGATTGTTACTTTTTTGTAAAAATTTCTAGAAAAATCTGGTCACCATAATTAAAGTCATAATATACACTGAAATATAAATATATTGCACATTGACTGTCTAGGGGCTATACATTGTATTAGATATAGAATGTCTACGGACTACACATTGAATTACACACTGACTGTCTTGGGACCACACATTGAATTACACAATGACTGTCTTGGGACCACACATTGAATATACACTGACTATCTTGGGACCACACATTGAATTACACACTGACTGTCTAGGGACCACACATTGAATATATACACTGACTGTCTTGGGACCACACATTGAATATACACACTGACTGTCTTGGGACTACACATTGAATATACACACTGACTGTCTTGGGACTACACATTGACTATACACAATTTTTAGGGATTATATGTTATAAATATTTACTGTGATTGACTGATATTTTTTTTTAACTGCAGTATCTGCAATCAAGGTGGTTCTTTAATTATTGTATCTGCAATCAAGGTGGTTCTATAATTATTGTGTGTGTCATAACTTCCAATGTGATGATCACACAGAAACAACTAGACTCTAGACAGTGATTGTGTGTTTATATTTCCAAACAGTGACAATTTTTATATACATTCAGACTTAAAATACAATTTCAACATGCTATGTACACTTGTGACATTTTAATTGCTGGTGTTCAAAAATGACTTTATAAATGATTTCAGTTGATGTAGATTTTTTTGGCTAGATTCTATTTAGACATTTTTTGTCTGGCTGTAATATTTATTGCTTGAAATAAATGTTTCAATAGTCACAAGTTTTTGTTTGTTTCATAATGTTTTGTTCAAAATCATCACTTAATATAATATTTCTCTTTTAGTTGAAGGTCACCACAGCTATTCCAAGTTTTTAAGTTTTAAAGTTTTACATTGTACAAAGAAATGACTACGCTTTACAAACTAAACTGTATTAACTCTTCCCCCCCCCCCCATCCGGCAAAGAACAATCTACAATTTTCCAACTAAGAACAGGACACACACCACTATTACATTACCACCTGAACAAAATAAGCTCCACACAACTCTCCCTTTACAGACACTGTGCCCAGCCCTTTGAAACCGTAAACCATATCCTCTTTGAATGCCCATCCCTAATCCACCTTAGGCAGACCCTACTTCCACTACAGCCCAACATAACCAACACCCTGTACGGCAAAGCTGAACAACTGAAGAAAACAGCACTTTTTTTCCTTGGCACAGTCTGCAAAAGAGCTCAAAGCTCAGCAGCAATAAAGCTGGCTAGAAGAAGTTTTACATTGTCCTCAAAGGTTTGTCTCACTAGAAGTGTTATTGAGTGTTAAAAACAACTTTAGCGTCAAGAATGAAACTAGGAAAACGGGCGCAGCTAGGAATTTTCCATCGTTTGGGGGCCTGAGGGGCTTGACCTCTTTGGAGGCTTCTGCATTTTGCATAATATTTCATTTTTAATGTAAAAAAACACTCATTTGGGGCCTGGGGGGGATTTTCAAATTCTCCTCCCCCCACCCTAGCTACCCCACTGTAGGAAAACCATTGAGTGTTGATGCACTAGAACAAATTCGTACAAGTGCTCCTTCTTCCCTATGCCATTAGAGAATCAAGTGGGTTGCCTGAATCAGCCAGGAAAACCGACTTAGCAGAGTTTTAGTCATTGATAACATGCATGACTACATTAACACATGATATGCGTAGGGCATATTTATCTTCTTGTTTGCAGCAACATCTGTAATCTATAAGATAAGAAGATAAAGCTAGAACCTGAGTTACACTAAAGCTTCTGTAGAAAATAGTTTTATTACAAAGTTTTATATCTACAATTAGCACAGAGATGACTAGTAACGATCAAGTCAATCACAGTTCAAAAACAAAGGACATCACAAGTAATCAATACATTCATTTCATCTAATTACAATCTAACAATGACAATTGTTTGTCTATGCATACTATGCTATGAATCAATAATACTGCACTAGATGCTGACTACAGCTTCACTTCAAGATTTCAGATGTCCTTTACAAGTGGAAAGTAAACATTTCAAATGTATTACTTATTAAAAATGTGTCTGACTAGGTAATTATATCAAGTATCAGTGCCAAGTTAGCTCAGTCCTGACTAGGTAATTATATCAAGTATCAGTGCCCAATTAACTCAGTCCAGACGAGGTAATTATATCAAGTATCAGTGCCAAGTTAGCTCAGTCCTGACTAGGTAATTATATCAAGTATCAGTGCCCAATTAGCTCAGTCCTGACGAGGTAATTATATCAAGTATCAGTGCCCAATTAGTTCAGTCCTGACTAGGTAATTATATCAAGTATCAGTGCCCAATTAGTTCAGTAGTTTATTTTGTGTCATCCTTGTTCCCAAAAATTTCCCTTCTACCATAAGGGATGTTCATCTCTAATAGCAAGCTCTTTGGTTATCCAGTGTAGGAAGTCCTATCATTAGGGATGTTCTGTGTAGGAAGGGTTGACTTGCTATGTCAATTAGTAAGTAGACTGTGAGTTAATTACATAATTTAGTAATGTGTGAAATCAACTTCCCAAGCTCTTTCACTCCTAGCACAAACTAATTTTTATAATTTTTATTTTTAGTTGGTAAGTGACCTTTTAATATAAGCACCTTGATATTGTTTGAAACTGAAAACTTAACATAAAAATTGCCAATTTACCCCTTCTGAATTTAGACAAAATGCACAACACTGTTTCAATACTTAATTAGAGTGATGTCAAGCCTAGCATGTACTCAACAATACCAACAGTCATTATATTCATATAGCTAGCAAGTCATCAAATTAAAATCTGTCTAAAAGAAGAATAAATATGAAGTGAATTTGTACATATGAAAATCCTCTTGAATATTGAAACTGTTTTTGACAAAATGTTCAGACTTTAAAGTTCTCGCTATAAAATCCAATCAGACTTAATATATGCACATGACACATATTTCTAGAACTGTGCTGATAATTAAGTGACAATTACAGACTGAAAGGGTCAGTCAGTATGTTGATTAAATGCTGTCAAGGTAAACAATCAAGTCCATCTGACATCTTGGTCATTGGAAAGTGGGGTCGATTTAAAAATATGTCCTGGAAAAGAAAAGAATTAAAACCATATGAATGAAAGCACATTATGTGTTCTACTTAGTCTATATAAGACTTTGATGGTGAACTATACAATGAGCCAAAGAGAGTTAGTGGAGTTTATATAAAACTTTATTGGTTAACTATCCAGTGAGTCAAAGATAGTGGAGTTTATATAAAATTTTGATGGTTAACTATCCCGTGAGTCTAATGGGTGAAAGTCAATATAAAACTTTGATGGTTAACTATCCAGTGAGTCTAATTAGTGAAAGTCTTATATAAAACTTTATTTGTTAACTATCCAGTGAGTCAAAGACAGTTATTGGAGTTTATATAAAACTTTGATGGTTAACTATCCAGTGAGTCAAAGAGACTTACGTGCTGTCTTCATCATTCACCAATGTTGTCTCACAATAATAAATGTCAATCTGATCCTGAAAATAAAAAACAATGATATAGACTTGAGCCTAAACTTTAATAATACTTCAAAGCTACACAAGTCTACTCTGATAAATACTTGTGGCTAAGTTTTAATAATACTTCAAAGCTACACAAGTCTACTCTGATTAGATTTAAATACTACATTAAAGTTTCTAAGTCTTGTCTTCCAATTTAAAATATTTTGTTTTCATTCTTGCATAATTCACATAAGATCAAAAATGACATGTGCTAAAGTCATTTTTGTTTGGTATGAAATTATACAACTCTAAGTGAAGTATCTAAAGCCAGAACTTTATTTTTATCTGATCATTAAAGTTTATTTGAAATAAGTGAGTAGAGACATGAAACAGTTGTACATGGAGACCAAGGTTAAAAGAGTTCTGTTCCTTGACACAATGACTTCCTAGTTAACTAAGACTTCTCTGTTAGTATCTTGAAAATCTGACAGCAGATGTATCCTTTGGATGTTGTTTGATGTCGGGGACAAATAACATATTTTAACCTTTAAGTGGCTTCATGGAGGTGACTGTATGCACAAAAAGAGAGATGGACTTTTAGGTCGGGGAAACTGTCAGGACAGATTTGCCATTTCTATCCAATTTTAGGCCATGAAACTGTCAGAACCAATTTCTAAGGAGACAAAGTGATCCAATGCTACACATTTGTGCAAACAGCTTCTCTTATGGTACTTAGGTCAGTGCGTTTTTCCCAAGGTACTGAGAAATATAAGAATCATTTTTAATGATGTGTCTAAATGACGACAGTTTCTGTTGTTCACTGAGAATTTTTAATGCTGTGTCTAAATGACAACACTTTCTGTTGTTCACTGAGAATTTTTAATGCTGTGTCTAAATGACGACACTTTCTGTTGTTCACTGAGAAACTTCTATTCTCATCGTTTCAATCTTCTTCCTTCTCCATGTAGTTCTATTTTATAACCAGCCCTCTTCTATAGCATTTACTTTCAGAGGTCTGAATTCTTTTAGTTAAGCTA